GAAAGCTAACTACAGATAATACAATACAATATCAAGTTTAGTGAAATTTACCTCGGATGTCTTTCATTGAAATCGAAAATCTGGAGATTTAGGACAAATCAAGACTAAAAAACAGGCTTGAAAACTGGTTAAGGTGAGCAAAAAATGAGGTTTACTTCATTAGGTCTTTTATTACAGTTTTCCAAAAACTTGACAAGAACAAATGAGACAAAATAGAAAATAATGCAAAAGGCAATGCAAAATACAAAAATGATTATTTTCTTTGGCAGTAAATTGGCGTTCGTAAATGTTTTTGAATATTTTTTAGCTCTTTAAAGTGAAAGTCTAGTAGGTCTTTATTTAAGCAATACTAAAACTTTTTCCGTGTTTACATAGCCTGATGGCAACACGAGGGGAGGTTGGGAGAATTCGAGACTACGTCTCGGGTTTGCATAACTGTCGAGAATTCTCCCAACCCCCCGAGTGTTGCTATCATGCTATATAAACACAGAGAAAAAGTTTTCTATTGCTTTTCTATTGCTTTTATAAAATAAATACTAATGGAAAACATTACCAGTTGCAAGAAAATAAATATTTATTTGAATTCGATTCTCATACCAAAATACAAATTCTCCATACATCACAAACTTCAATCGTTAGCCAATCAAATTTCGTTTAATAAACGCCAAGGAGGCAAATGTGAAGCGTGAAAGAATCGCTAGCTATATATTTTGAACATTTATCATTCTAAAACTTTAAAACAAATACAACGAAATGTTCAAAGATTGAATAGAAATATTTGTTGTACTATGCTCTTCGTGTTATATTTCCTCCAGCATGAAAATAAATCAAGGTTATCGATAGAAATATAAAACGTTTTGAGAGAAAGTCTTTGATTTGTCGATTCGTCAAGAAAAAAGCTTGTCAAAAAAATAACAATATACGATTGTTTGCAAAAAAAACACACATCTGAATTCCTGAAGAACACTTCTTGATCCATCTTTGCTACATGAAAGTATTCTTTAAATTGTTTTTGGTCTATAAGTTGTCCTAAAGCGATTTTTTCTGTGCATTTGAGAGCCGCAATTGTGGGTAGTTTTGCTTTGACATCAAGCGGGATTGCTGTGTCGTGTACACGGACGGACGTACGGACGGACGGAAGTGACGTCAGCCAAGCCATGAAAAATCAACTCGATGGCTTACCATTTTTTCTTAAGTATGGTGCTCCTTTCGCGCGGGAGCTCCGCTATGATTTCTTTAAATAACAGGGTGACGCAAGCCATTGGAATTTCAAATGAACGTTAATTGCGTGACAGCAGTTAAGCGTTCCTTTCCTTTAATAACATCAGAACTGATCCTGCTTGTTTTTCAGTTCTAAATAGAGCTAACACAGTGGCTACTGTGGTAAGACAAAACGTTCACTGGATGTCTATAGTAACAAGAATAGGCAATGTGCATTAGCACGAATCTCTATCACAAAGCATGGTTAGAAAAACCGAGTACTAAACAAGTCCGAACAAGGAAATCGATAGAATTAACAGAAAAATATTATTCAGTTACTTTCGTCTGTTGAAATACTTACAAATGAGCGTCGTATGATATTTTTTTCTGTTTATAAAAGCATCAAGTGCGTTTGGAAATACTAAGAGAAGCCGGTCAAAGATCACATCCTTTGCTTCCTTTGGAGGCACACTTTGATAAGCAAAGCTTAAGCTTACTTTTATTCTCTGTTCTACTAGAAATAATTATGAAAAAAATGCAATGTATGAACCGATATGAATCTGACAACTCTAGTTCAGCTAGTCAAGAGGATATAAACTAAGTAGGTCATTTTTTCTTGAGCTAGTAGATTCTAGAACATTATCCTTGCAAAATGGCCATTACTTATATTCATTTACAAAGCAATGCAAACCACCTATAGTAAACATCATGCAGCATGACAGCCACTTTTATTCCCTTATAGGAATGATTACAAACCACCTATAGTAAACATCATCCAGCATGACTGCCACTTTTTTCCCCTCAGGAATGATTACAAACCACCTACAGTGAACACCATCCAACATGGCTGCCACTTTTATTCCCTTAGGAATGATTACAAACCACCTATAGTAAACATCATCTAACATGGCTGCCGCTTTTATTCCCTTAGGAATGATTACAAACCACCTATCGGTGAACATCATCCAGCATGGCTGCCACATTTATTCCGAAAATAAACGATTCTAGCCACCTTTAGTGAAGTTCATCAAACATGGCTGCCACTTTTATTAGGTTAGGAATCAATATAGAAACCACCTATAGGGAGAGACAATGGGTGGAGGTGGGATGGGCCAGGGGAATCGAATTGTGGGTGTAATGCCGGTGGTCCACCTTATGGGTTGAAGAATAATGAGAATAAAGTAAAACCTAAAAGAAAGCTATGTAAAACCCAATTTAAACTAAAAATACCTAATTAAGCCGTAATTTTTCCAAGCTACACATGCGTAAACACCAGGTAATACACCTTTTGCTGTTCATTAACCGCAAAGGAATATTCATTGAAGCGAAGAAGCATTGTCATTAGAGCGAACAGGAATACAATAAGGCGAACGGAGTCTCAA